CAGAAGAGAATCTCAGTAGAGCATATATTTGATGAATATTAAATAGTTGAAAACAACAGACAGAAGTGACAGTGGCTATGTGTAATTAGGAGTCAAAGGTGACCCCAATGTTGTGGGCTGTGGGTGATAGATAGTCAGTGAGAGGGGGAAGTGGAGAGTGAGGTTTGGAATGGGAGGTGAAGGGGAGGATGCAGGGAAGAAAAGTTCTTCAGTTGTGGCTGGGTTTTTTTGTTTTTTTTTAAAAAGATGATGACATATATTGGGCAATGCCAGAGAGGCATGAAGAGATGTGATGACATCAATTATGCAATGACAGAAACACTGCAGGACACCAACTAGAAGAGGGATCTGCGGAGTGGATGTTTTGTTGCTGGAAACTTGGAAGGATCAATCAGAAATGTAGCATTAGAGTCTGGTGAGGGCAGTGCCAATAATACGAAAAGGTTAGCAAAGCTATTTTTGCAAAAAAAGTTGGGGCAGTGGAGGGAGATAGAGGCACACAGTACAGGATCTTCTGTATCCTCTACATGGTGTGACAGGACGTGCTGGCTGGGAGCCAAGAGACACACAAATGGCTGGGGAATGGGAAAAGAGACACAAAGGGGGGGGGATGCACAAAATAGGGGTTGGGAAGTAAGACACACAGAGGGGCTTGGAACGGAGAAAATGAGTCACACTGAGGTGTTAGGTAGAGAGACACAAAAAGGGACTGGGAGGAAGTAAGAGACACACAAAGGAAGGGGAGTAAGAGACACACAAGGGGGTGTACGACACACAGATGGGGATAAAATAAAATAAAAGTGGGTAAGAAATTTAAAAGGGGCTAAGAGACACACAGGTGAAGATGCTTTTTTGTGGTATGGACAGCAAAATGCATCTTCACCTTTGAAGCCAAAAATAATTGCACCAGCCCTAACATCTTTTTATGTACGACAGCACCTTACTAGCTTTTGCAATTGCAAAACAACATTGCATACTGTTGCCTAGTGTGTTATCTATAACTGTTCCAGAATTTTTATTTAAAGTTATCCCTAACTCAACCCCATTTAATGTATAAGTGGCTTGTGGGTTCCTTATTCCAAAATGCCCAGTCCTCCAGTTTATCCAAATTCCTCAGTATAGAAGTTATTGTGGTGGCCACCCAGATAGGCACATGGTTTTCACTGCCAAGGATGTCTTTTTCCCTATCTCTGGAACTCTGCTGCAGTAAATCCAATAGTATTAGTGAGGCAGAATATAATTTCCCACGTAGTATAATCCAGATATATCTTTCCCCCACAGTCATTAGTCGAGACTAAATTCTGGGAGTGAACTGACTTTATTAGGGGCCACACACGGCCTTTAATGCAAAGACCCCTACATGGGATTTCCAACACAAACATACAGGGTCTTTTCTCCCAAAATCCTTTGTGCCTGAGAGATATTTTCCTGGGGAAAAAACTATAATTAACTTATCTCTCAGGTACAGAAAAATCCACAATTTTTATAACACCCCGAAACAGACATATAATAACCATGTACCCCCTCAAGTCTTCTATCCCCGGATAGCCTGGATCTGAGCGCACAACATATCTGAAAAGCGCTCAGATCCCACCAACACAGCCGAAACGCCACCGGGGTAAAGTTTTGACAGACCGCACACGAGGCGCCTGCCCAAAATAGTTCCAGGAAAAAGGTGGTGGTGGTCGGTCTCTTTCGGGAGTACGAAAAAGTATAAAATACCAAACATAGGTTTGAGCTGGTATGCAGATAGTGTTCACCTAATCCATGTGCATGGTTCCATGGTTCCACTGAACACTGTTCTTCCAAGATGTATAGAACCAAACGCAGGCGGGAATGGAAGTTCAGCGGTGTTCGCGAAGTCGAATGTCTGATTTTAGTTCCATGCACTCGACAACCAAACACCGCTGCCAGCGTTCGTGCAAACAAGATGGCCGCCACCCTTCGTACATACGAACGACAGCAACCCAGCCGACCTCTTAGAACACTGAGGTGTGAATCATTATTGAAGTGTTAACAGAGGTGAATGAGGTTAACAAGCATACGGGTGGTCTGGGTATTTCGTGTTTTTGTTCGGTTACCGAACAAAACAGGGAAAATAAGCAAACACAGTATTCCAGTGACAGGGTGGTCTGTCACAGTTATATTATGTTCAAGCTGTATTATAATAAAAAGGATAATTGTGCAAGGTGAAGAAGGGAAGGATGTAAACACGTGAGTAATAGTCTAGAAACATTTTCTGTTTTTTATGTATGTGGCTATATGTGTATATATCTATCCACGTATGTCTCAATCTATCCAAGTATTCCTTAGAATCTGCAGTACAGGGACTTGTTTAGAATTTAGAAGCAGCTTCATTCGGTCATTGTTTCAGTTTCTATTAACGGTTTTATTATAAAGTGAAATAATGACAGAATAAAGCTACCTTTAAATTGTAGAAATTCACGTATAGTAAAGATGCAGAGTATTCTATACATTTCTTGAATTACATGGGGCATTTTTTTTTAGTGCATGATGCCTATTGTATTAGAAATATGTGTATTTTATAGTATTTATCTATGTTTGTTTTTGAACAATAGGGAGTCTGCAGTAACCTCTTTTTTGTGACCCACACTCATCCTGAAGAACATATCAGAGAAGGCAAAAGTCACCAGAATTCTCATGAAGCTGATTTTGTGAAATCCCTCTGCCTCTATTTTCTTCAGCAAGGGTACCAACCATCTCAGATCACCATACTTACAACCTACTCTGGACAGCTCTACTGCATACAAAAAAAGATGCCTAGGTCCACATTTGAGGGAGTCAGGGTTTGTGTTGTTGATAAGTTTCAGGGGGAAGAAAATGACATTGTCATCCTTTCACTAGTAAGAAGCAATAGTGTTGGGAGCGTTGGGTTCCTTCAAATCCCAAACCGTGTCTGCGTTGCCTTGTCCAGGGCCAAGAAAGGGTTATTTTGTATAGGTAATATGCAGCTGCTTTCCAAAGTACCACTCTGGAAAAAAATGAATGAAGTCTTAACAGAAAATGGACAGATTGGTAGTGAGTTGAAGTTGCAGTGTGCAAATCACCCTAACAACATAAATTATGTGTCTGTATCTGAAGATTTTACTAGAGTCCCAGAGGGTGGTTGTATGAATCTTTGTGAATATAGGCTTGACTGTGGCCATGTTTGCACACTGCGGTGTCACCCTTATGATCCAGAACATAAATCATTCAAGTGCTTAAAAGAATGTATTAAAGTCCCATGTGAAAATGGGCACAAGTGTACGAAACCATGTGGTGAACCTTGTGGGAAGTGCTCACAAATGGTGCCAAAGAAGATTTCCACATGTGGACACATGCAGGATATGTCATGTTCATTCTCTCCAGATAAATTTGTATGCAAAGAACCATGTACTAAAATCTTAGAATGTGGTCACCCATGTGTACGAACATGCGGTCAGATTTGTACACAAAAGTGCCCTGAAAAAGTAGATATTATTTTGGAATGTGGGCACTCAAACAAAACTCTATGCCATCTGAAATCCGATGTAGCAATGACTGGAGAGAAGTTAATTTGCAAGGTGCATTGCCAAGAAGAACTTCCTTGCGGTCACAGTTGCCCAGGCATCTGCAACAGCTGCAAGGAACAAGGCTCTCATATGAACTGTACAAAGCCATGTGACACTGTCTTGTTATGCTCTCATAGATGTGACCATATTTGCTCATCAGAATGCTTTTGCATATGTTCTTGTGAAAACAAATGTTTTCATAAAAAATGTTTTTCCAAATGCAGTGACCCTTGCCAGCCTTGCATGAAACAGTGTGGCTGGAAATGCAAACACAAGAGTTGCACAAACCGGTGCTGGGAGCCTTGCAATAGAGACCCTTGCGATGAACCCTGCAGCAAAAAACTCCACTGTGGACACCCATGTATTGGCTTCTGCGGAGAACCTTGCCCCAATAAGTGCAGAATTTGTAATGCAGATGAGGTGAATGAAAATGTATTTGGCAAAAAGGTTTATCCAGATGCCAAGTTTGTTCAACTGTTAGACTGTCCTCACATGTTTGAAGTGACATCTTTTACGGAATGGATGAATCAGGAGGAAGAAGGCAAAGTGATAAAACTAAAATCGTGCCCCAAATGCTTAATACCCATCAGACGAAATGTACGATACGGAAACCTGATTAAACAGACCCTTTTAGACCTTGAGTCAGTAAAAGAACGGATAGTTGGCAAATGGCTTAACTGTTTAGAAGTTTTCCTTTGTGATAACGAAGCTGAATTTAAACACTTTCCAGCAATTGAGAGAACAATGCAAAAGCTTAAAGAAAACATTATTACCCTTCGCATGTTGATGCTAGTAAGTGAGAAATTGATTTTCTGGAAGAAGCTTGGAAGTATCAAAAACAGGTTAGAGCCATTTTCTCCAGCTATAGTTTCCTGGGCAAATACAGAAAAGATTTCTGACCTTATTGAATTAGCACCAAATAAACACAGAATTTCAGATTTGCACTATGACCTCTTCAAGTTAGTTCTCAAAGCAGAATACATAATTTTAAAAGAAAAAGGGTTGGTATCGTACATTGGAAACATCACAGCCCTGGTCGATAAAATGGAAAAGCAGGCCATAACCCTGGATGATGCTCGAATAACATTAAGAAAAATTCCACTCCACATGGAAATGGTCAGTATAATAGAGAACAAAAACAATGTTCTCAATATGGAACTGCTAAAACAAGGCATGTGGCACAAATGCTCTGCTGGTCACATTTATAATGGTCACATTGAAGAAGAGGAACTTGATTGTCCCCAGTGCACTGATGAAGACTCAGATGATGAAGACCAGGAGGATTGAAGAGCATGGTAGAAAATGCCTTCTTTTTTTACTATTTTCTGGTTTTATCTAGCAAATAAAAAATTATGCAGATATAAAGTTATTTACAAACGATCATGTCATTTTGTGAAATTTGCACTTAAAAAAAAAATGTAACCTAGAGTGCACAGTCCTAAGTTCTGCACTATGTATTATTATGTAGAACACAAGAAAAAATAAACAAAAATCACACTAAATCTAATTAAATCAAATAAACAATGGTGCAGCATTAATATTTGGGCACCTATTAAATGAACACTGTTTTCAGTACAAGAGAGGCCATTTACCAAGTATAACTGAAGCAATGCATCAGTTATGGAAACAAAAAAAATTCAAAAGAAAATAAAATGGTCTAATTTCTGGCTAGTCATTGGTGAGATATGACAAATCATCTTACATCATAAAATTATCCAGCCAAGCAGCGTATTTCTAAATCTTTCTGTGCATCCGTTGTCTATGTATAGCAAAAGAAGATCCTTTAATTCCAAAAGGATGAACTGCCTAATATCTGGATTCCAATACACAAGTATAGATGTAACCAGATCTAACTAAACATATAGGATCCACATGTTTCTAAAAGTGCAGAAACGAGTGGAGAATTGCTATCTGTTTATATCACAGTTTTAAATACTGCAATTTTGGACCGACAAATCTTCTCTCTACTTCCCACTTCCATCATGGACACAAATACCATAGTGCTGTGAAATTAAAGGTAGTATTTTCTTTAAAATATGCTGATGAGGCATGGTTTAGTCACCTTTTGTTGCACTACTTTTTAATAGATGTGCTATTTTTTTCTCTAGGTCTCCTTTTATCAGTAAATGACTGAAATATCACTGTAGATTTAGGGAGATACGGTTTCTGAGAAAATACATTAACTGCTTTCAGCAGATATGGTCTATTTGGGGGCGGGGGGCAACTTTTGCCTTTGCTATTATAAACATTTGTTAGCTTTTGCTACTATAAAAGTAGAAAACACTTTTTTAGAAATGTTTTTGGTTAGTTTGGATCGCTCTAATGTTTAATTTGTTTGCAGAAAATGAGAAATGTTCTTGAAGAGGATTACATTTTCACAGGCAATACATATATGTAAAAGGTTACTTAAATAAGTTGCCTGAATTTCTGGTAGAGATCACATGGTCTATTCCAACAGTTGTGCTTGTTGTCACTGTAACTGTGATCTATGTAGGAAGCAGGCCTTTTACCAGGTCACGCTCTAATGTTCCAATAGATTTTCTTCTGCCATCCTGCTCCTTAGGTTCTAAGATTATTGAAGCTCTCTACAGGAATTCAATGAGTTTTGACCAGGATGGCATTTTCAACAATTTTATGTGTATGAGGTTGTACATGTTTTCGTCAGTTCTAGTCACTTGTCACCTCATTCTGATTGCTGGAGGTTCTCGAGTCCTCCTTAAAAGGCCTATGTTCGCTCTACTTATTTTATGTCTTCCATATGCATTACAGCTTTACAGCTATTTTGTCTCATACAGACAATTTTTGTACATTATTATTATTATTATTATGATATTTATATAGCGCCATCAAATTCCGCAGCGCTTTACAATGGGTGGACGAACAGACATGTAGTTGTAACCAGACAAGTTGGACACACAGGAACAGAGGGGTTGAGGGCCCTGCTCAATGAGCTTACATGCTAGAAGGAGTGGGGTAAAATGAAACAAAAGGTAAGGATAGTATTAGACTAGTGACAGTTGCAGAAGATGACATATTGCAAAGTCAGTGGCATTAGTTCTGATGAGGCGTCTTGAATTTTATGGTTCATGATTTTTTTTCTCATTTCAACCCAGTGGTCCATTGCAGACTCTGTGCTAATGATTGCATCCAGAGGATAAGAGGTGACATTGCCACACTTATTTATACATATTAATGAACATTTTTAATAGTGTTGAATATCAGGGAATTAGCTTATGTGTTACACAAATACACCTATGTTTACATATGTACACATATACTTTGTTGATAGGTGTCACTTTCTGTCTACAAAAGGAATGTGCACACTGATATTTCTCAGCTACACAACACACAAGCATCTAGCAGCAATTTTTTTTTTTTGACAAACCACTTTGGGCACTGGTAAATGCAAGCACATTGCAAATCCTTTATTTAACCAGGTGGTGATTTGGTATATTTTGATAAACCACCCATTGGTTTGAATTACCAAACTAACCTGAGAAAAGCTCTGTAGTGCCCATTCAAATGATGGGATCGCAGGTTCTATTTCCCTCACTCAAGTTAACGCAATATGACCTATGTACGTAGTAAAGTCCAAACACATACTGTAAGTATCAAGGATTCATCTAATACATCTGGTTACATCTGACAGTGACCTAAACACACCTGCATTCTTGTTGATTGCAGTGTCTTATAAGCATTGATATGCCATTTAGAACTCTTTAAATATTTTAGGTTAAGATCATAAAATCCATATGATCACATAGGTTTTGGATATATGATGCTAGCTTGGGAGTGTGGGTTCCGCAGGTCCATTGTGTGACAACATGTCACCGAACCAGATGTGCTTTTATATCATGTACATTTATTGTGGTTCCTTCAACCGCAGAACAGCATTTCTACACAAGAACATTTTCTAATATCACATAAAATATATTTAAACATATAATTATTAACTTACTACCTTCTCATTTTTTTGTTTGCCCTGTGCATGCTCACTTAGCAGATTTGGCCTTAGCAATAAACAGAACAAAATACACATGTCTGTTTGTTAATGCTTGTCTATGTTACAATTCCATGGATCATTAAGCAAGATTGCTAATGGAATTAATTGCCTGAATTAATTAAATTGGTCAGCAGTGTGAAATACAGCATCATGACTAGATGATGGATACTATACCCCTACTAATTCATCCCCTCTGTCTGTTGCCTTCTACCCTTTGTTTTTATTTGCCTTTTCCTGAGCTATATAGACTCTCACCTAGCAAATTAATTAATGGCACAGCACAGACCAAATTGCATAAATCTGTTCTCAACTTCAAAAAATGTATGTAGACCATTACAATGAATACTACAAATACTATAATGAAGAGATATTGTAAGAAAGTACTTGGCATGACACATTTCCAACATATTAGATCAAGTTCTCCTGAGAAAGAGCAACCCAAGAGTGCAGCCACAGCCGCCAGCTACAGGTGGTAATTACAGTAATCTGTTTAATAAGGCATACAGAAACATAAATATATGTAACAATCTCTAAGGTTTACATTTAATATATTTGTAAATATACACATAAAAAGTCAAAGTTTATTTTATAATTAAAGTTGCTAAAATGTATGCTTCTCATTTTTTCAAATTATTGTTTCTGATAACTTTTGTCTAATCCATTAAATCGTATAAGGAATAGGATCATGTGCAGCAATTGCCATGCTGCACCGATCCAATACTTCTCTTAGAGAAGCTTTGTGTCCAGTGATACTCTGAGAAATATCAGTGGTTTTCAGCCTCATCATGTTGTGTGTGATAACACTGAACATGAAGAACCTTGAAAATGAAATGTCTTAAAGGGATGCTCTAGGTATCAAAACATATATAGCTTAGTGAAGTAGTTTGGGTGTATAGATCATGCCACTGCATGTTTCATGCTCATGTCTCTGCCATTTAAGAGTTAAATCACTAGCCACACATCCCTGGCTGTGATGCACACAGTTTTCCTGGAAAAAAAAAATTGCTTTCATTTTCATATGTTAACTTGCTTTAGAAGTTTTTATTTCCTGTCCTGTAAATTGAACTTTAACAACACACTGGAGGTTCCTGCAAGGTGTAGAAGGCTATTAACACAGCAGGAGATAATAAATTCTAAATTGAACACACTATGGAACCTAACCTTTTCTGTCTGATAGCCACTGGATGTATGTTTTCAGACAATTGCAAACATGTTTTACAATGTCAGAGGGATAGCATCTGTATATTAAAACCACCCACAGCTGTCTTAACGCATGGGCAGTAGCCGGGGGCCCACAAGCATAGGGGCCCCATAGGCTACCCAACTTTTCAGTAGAATATAAAAGAATTAAGGTTAAAATAGTCCAGAACTTAGGTGCTCCAATCACCAATGTGAGTCACTTAGCACAAAAAACCAAATAAAACAGTATACAAAATAGTGAATGGTGAGAGCACACTATATAACTTTACCCTTATTATACTTAAAACTCCATAGGAATCTAAAAGCAAGAAAAAAAGAACATATAGGGTAATAACGAAACAACTGTAATGTTTAAAATACCATAAAATGGTCAAACTCACATGGTCATGAGCCACTTATAAAAGCTGGCTCAGACTAACGGCATATCAGCGTATGTAAAAGGAACTCCAAGCTCAATTCACTTTGTGGTCCTTAGTTCAAGCTATTTCAATCAAATCTGGATGCAAGAAGTGATGAAGTGCAAGAAACTTTTATTCCACGTATATTAAAAAGCTGGATACAAACAAACACTGTTATTATAAAAAAGTCCTTTTAGGAATAAACTTAAAGTTTAGGACTTTTTTATAATAACAGTGTTTGTTTGTATCCAGCTTTTTAATATAACTGCGCTGCTGCGAAAAACAAATTGACTTTTGCGGACCGAAAATGGCTAACTTTCGAACGACCGATATTTTTCCTTTGGCTATATTTTTCTATAACAATTTTAAGTTAAAAAGCAAGAATATAATATTAACTCTCATTTTGTATACCCAACTTTTCAGTTTATTATTCCTGGAGTTTTATTCAGAATTTTCAAACCCTCTTTATAAAAATGTTTAGTTGAACTAATCACCTCAGTATCAGCTGTTATCTGTACATAAGCAAGACAAAATCAACACAGAAGTTTTTGAAGCAGTAAAGCTATAATAAAGTTCTTTTAATATTTTAACAGTCCATGTCCGTTGCCTCACACTGTTACCTACTAAATGTTTGTGTGGATTAACATTATGTTTTTTAATGTTTAAACATTGGTTTTGTTGGAGGTACTGTAACGGACTGTTTTGCCCACAAGAGGTTAAAAACCGTTTAGGCGATATTCCCCTTTTAGATGCAAAGGCACAGCTACTGCAGAACACCAATCTGCCGAACAGGAAAAGCATATGAATGCCGTAAACAGCCGAACCGGAACCATATGAATGCTGTACACAGTCGAATAGGAAACCATACGAATAGGTTTACACTCCTAGCAGTCAAACTGGAACAGCATACAATAAATCCCCCCAAGAACGAGACAAAGCTCCGTGTTGAGGGTCAAGCAGGAACAGACAGAGCTGTGGGTTTATTGTTCTTATATACACATTAGTACCACCCACAGGGTTTTGGAAAACAACCAATAAACACGTACAATACACTCAGGCACTCCCACACAAAATCCTCCCCTCTGCCTGTGATACAATTACCTTACACAATGGGTAATGTAATTATAACAAGCAGAGAAATACAATTTGTCCACATTATTCATAACTTGAAAAGTATGCATCACATTCACATAAATGTACATACAAGGTTACATTTTCAGAATCAGCATACTCCAAATACAAACATATGTCAAAATCATCAAAATTGGTCCAGTGGTTCAAAAGATAGATCGTAGTCCTTTGTGACCAAAGGAAGCATGGCTTTTCTGCCCAAAACCAGTTCCACAGAGTCTTCTATCCTGGAGATAATTGGGGAAGTAATCCAATTATCTCCAGGACAGAGGCAAAACTCCATTAGCCACATGGCAGCAAAAGACAATAAAACACATAAAAACATATAACTGTGCAGCCATTGCACAAAACAGGTACATTCAACATATCCCCAGATAGCTCAGATCTGAGCGCACATTATTACTGAATGGCGCTCAGAGCACACATATACAGTTCAATTGCCATGGAGCCAAAGTCTTTCCCATAGTCTTTCATTATACGAATGGGCTCCATGGCATAGCTATCTGGGGTATCACCGCTCAAACAGGGCAAGCACTGAATGACCCGGCTTTCGTGTCTTCGCAGGGGAAAATCACGCATTTCAACATGGGGCCATAGTCTAAAGGCAACAGGCGAGCAACCAGGCTTCTCCAATGCAATGTGGCGAGATTGGTCTTGTCACAGGTACCAATAAATATTAGCGTAATTTTATGGATAATTTAAATTTTTCTTCCTGTGAGTGGTTGTGTCGGCAGGCAGGGCCGCCATCAGAAATTTTGGGGCCCATGACAAAGCACAAGGTCTTGGGCCGCCGGGCCTGTGACAACAGTCACGGTTGCCACCCCCTGATGGCGGCCCTGTCGGCAGGGCCCCAGTGCACTGCTCTGCTTGGGGGCCTATAAGGCTGTTAGCAAAACCCTGAAACCACCTCATTAAGATACAGAGTGGTTTGGGTTTTCACAATGTCCCTTTACTTAACCTGAATTGGTGCAGGGACAGCATTAATACTATATAGAGTGTTCTTTGAGGGTTGGAGTCTGAGAAACATTTTCAAATGTCTGAATTTTCTACCATTAATGGCTTCCAGCTATCAAATTAAGTTTGTTGTCACTAAACAGTGAATTGTGGGGAGCTGAAAGCCGAATTTCAAACCCCATGGTAAAATAACAATTTTGTGACTATTGCATGTTTCCATATCAGCTATTTTAGCCTAAATTTTGAAATGTTATTTTCAATTCACTGCAATAAACACATGCATAGTATCAAATACAACTGTAATTCATTTGTTCAAAACAATAATAAAATTTTCTTTAAGATCTTTTTTTTGTATTAGTATGAATAGCAGTAGTGTAATTTTTGTGAAGAGGGACCTATTATGGTTGATCTCTTTACTGGAATATGTATTCAATGAAAGGGGTGCATTTGTTTGCTATTTTTATTTTTAGTTCATGATCTGATTCATCTCCTCCCTAAATGGTCATAATGTTTATGTTATCTATGTTGCATTTTAATGTAATTATTATTAAAAAAAATAGAATAGGTAATTGTTCCTGTTTCCTTTCTGTATCCCATATTATTAAGAAATCTAATAAAATTTGGAATTGTAAAAAAGTTGCTCAGTTGTAAGTTTTACTTTAAACAAAATGTATTTACACTCTTGGCATATGTCATTTAACAATCAATACTTTTGTTTGTGTATGATGAATGTCATCAGCTGCTGACTGTGACAGGGTGAGTAAAAGGGAAAGTGTGAAATGGCGAGGGGGTGAATGAGACTGGGTGGGGATGAGTATGACAGGGTTGGGGTGTGAGTTGGAGGAGGGAGTATGATAGGGCAAGTGTTGGCATGGTTGGGGGGGCGAATGTGAAAGTATTGGAAGGGTTAATGTGACAGAGTGAGTGTGGCATAGCTGAGTATCACAGGGTTGGGGTGAAAGTGGCATGGTGAGAGGAGGGAGTATGACAGAACGAGAGGAGGGAGGGGAGAATGACAGGATTAAGTGACCGGGTGAGTGGGACATGGTTGGAGGAGGGAGTGTGACAGGGCGAGGGGAGGTGAGTG